CTGCTGAAACAGGCTTGAAGCATATTTCTGTCACTGCTTCCTTCCTTTCATACTCATTAAGAACTATTTCCAGTTTATGATACTGATCTCTCACTTTTTGTAGGGTGGGGGAAAAAACCATCCGAAGTCAGTTTTGCCCTAATTGTATCATCAATAGCCACAAAAGAATTGTCTAGGCTATTTGGACATGTAAAGCTATCTTGAACAGAGATGATTTGATGAAAGACAGCGAAAACCACCAGATATGTACTTAATTCTCTGGTGAAAGATTAAAGAAAAGGAATAAATAACACCCTCCTTCCACTCCCAACAAATTATCATACAAAGAATTAGAGCTTGGCCTTTGAATCTCAGAGTGAAGGACAGAAGAAAGACCTACTTACCTACACTGTATGTAAACAAGCAGACAAGCACAAGGGTCGATCACTTGATTCAAGTTCTCTATAGGGTCTCTAATACAATACATGATATCATATGAAGGGGTGCAAACAGTTGCATAGTATTACACTGAGTCTTTATCGTCTTAGTGGAAAAGAATTCAGATCAATCAGTTGTAACAATTTTCAAAGAATGAAAAGAAATATGAGACAAACAGAAACATGAGGCTCATGGAAGTGATGCAAGAAGCTGCACAGCTGAAAAGACAATAAATTTTAGAAGTAACTTTTCATGACTCTCAAGCTTTGTCATGTAACTCTGCATGCGGAAACGCTACTTCTGTTAGCCTATCTTGTATCTTCATGAGTTAAGCTGGAACAGCTACGGCTTTGCAGGCAAACAAGCTCTGAAATTGCATTGAAATCAACCCAACTGGGGGAAGGCTGACAGACGAACAATAATTCCACTTCTAGCATCTGACTAATATTAGCAGGCAGTCAGAACTTACGAATTAGCAGAGTTTAACAAGGCTCCCAGAAATTATCTTGCTTGGACGGCTCCTGATGAAGAGATCTCTGGCTCCCCTCAAAGAGATCCTTATGATTACGGGAATAAAAAACAAAACCACAGTGTATTTTAAGTGATAAAAGTGAAGAGTTAGGGAAAAATTAAAGTATTTGCAGTATTTTTAACCCTTCTTGTTAGCTATACAATCAAGTTTTGCTTCTTGCCAAAACTTTATGTTACTTCAGTAGAAGAGTGAAATGGATTCCCCTCTGAAGGGCAAGCTTAATGGGTAGTAAGTTTTTCCTCATCTAACACTAGTTTTTGTTAAGAAAAGATTTTGTTAATAGTTTTTATTAACTGAAAAGAATGGTTACACTGTGATATAGCTTTACTTGAATGTTTTTTCCAGAAATGAAGTAAAGGAAGAAAGAAATATTCCACTGAGGTGGAAAAAAAATTGTCTGCGTCTGACTGACAAACGTAGAACTTGAAGTACTGTATACATATTTCACTGTATATGTACTTCACTGAATATTTCAATTCTTGCTGTTCCTGGATAAAATGCCAGAAAGACTTTACCCAGTAAATACCTTTCAAGAGATCAGGCAGTGGTTTACATGGCCATTAGTTCCTGATCCCAAGATTTTTAGCAGAAGAAGTTGCAATGGATTTCTGTTATATGATTCTTGAATAAAATAAAATGGAACGTGAGAGATGCAAGTATTTGATGAAAATATTGGGCAAAACATACAGACCAGAATTTAATCATCTGGGTACACTTGTTTAGCCTACTCAATTTATTTTCCTGCTTGATATCTTTAAGAAAATGCACCTTAAGCAATTGCACTGGTACTCAAAGCACTGTGCTCTCCCTGGTAACTCTGAATCTTTTATGCAGGTTCAACCCAACTTCACAGAAAAGTTGAGATCTCTAAAATAATTACAGTTTATTTTGCAAAAGCAAGTAGCTTAGCAAAGAAAAGATACAAATTAGGGTCCCCAGAGGGTAAAACTACAGCATAAGCTAAAACTCTATGTGTAGTGTATGTGAGAGACAAGGATAAATAAGGAGTGACAGTAACAGAAATGCACCCAAGTTCTGGTGCTTCTTTATTGTCTATGCTCATACAGCCTCATTCACAGAAGCAGGAGCATCTTTAAAAACTTCTGTCCATATACAGAATAATTAATTCTGGAAGAAATCTCTGGAGGTCATTTAGCCCAACCCATTGCTCAGATATACTTAAAGTTAGACCAGCTTGCTTAGGGCCTTTTCTAGTCAGGTGTTGAGTATCTGCAAGGATGGAAATTCCATAGGCTTTCTGGGCCCCTGATCCAGAGCCCCTCATAGTGAAACATTTCTTCCTTACTTGAAATTTCTTTCTTGAAATTTCCCTTGCTGCAACTTGTGTTCATTGCCTGTTGTCTTCTTCTGTGCACATCTGAGAAAAGGCTGGTTCTGTGTCCTCCAAGACCTGTGGTTAGATAGCTGAAGACACCCCCTTAGACTTCCCTGTCATGAACCAACCCCTGATCTCCCAATCTCTCCTTGCATGC